CTCCCCAAAACCCCAAAACCCCAAAACCCCAGGATTACTCAGATCAGTTGAGACTGCCTAGATAGTAATAATTCTTATAAAAAAATTATTTTAAACATGGAACAAGCGATTGTTCACGACCACAACGACACTAAAGAGATGCAGGAGGCTAAAAAATGGGAAAAGGCCAGGCGTGGAAAAATTACTACACAGATCAAGACCCGCTCAAAGGTGCAGGGGAAGGAATCTGTCCGTCCAACTGTCATCAACAGTGATCTTATCTCAGAGTATTACAGAGATTATAACAGAGAAAACAAGATCTTTAACAAAGATGATACTCCTTTGTGGGAGTTCACTCATCTCGCTCTTTCTTATAGGAACATTATTGATATAGACAATCTTAAGGGTATGGAGAAGCTCAGGAAGTTGCAGTTAGATAACAATATTATCTACAAAATCCAGAACTTAGACCATCTGATCAACCTTGAGTGGCTAGATTTATCGTTCAATCAGATTGAGAAGATCGAGGGGCTAGGAACCTTGACTAAACTGACCGACCTGTCTCTATACAACAATCATATTGAAGAAGTTGGAGGTCTTGGCAAACTTCTTGAACTCAACGTACTTTCTCTTGGACAGAACAGGATCAAGAGCTACGAAAATGTTATCACTTACCTTCGAGAAATTCCAAATAAACTGGAAGTCCTGACTCTAGAAGGCAACCCCTGTATTAAGAAAGAAAATAAGGAAGAGTACCAGCTTTATGCATATGCTTATTTAGAGAAACTTCAGTACCTAGACTACCATATTGTCAAGCAAGAGATCAGGAATGCTGCTCTTGAAAAACACAGAGAGGATATTGACGAACGTGACAACCAAAAAGAAGCTGACAAGAACGTCGTGACTACCCCTTCCTTGATGTCTAAGGAGCGTAGGGCTCAACTCATTGAGGCCCACGTCTTGATTGCCAATGACATCTTCAAGCGTAACTTGGCAGAGGATGAAGTCATGCAGAAGTTCACAATTCTACCCAACTACCAAGACATCATGCAGCAGATCGATGATGAAGTCAGAGATAAAATCGAAGAATTCATTAACGACATCCTAAAAAGTCATCAAGAGAAGAAGGATAAGATCGCCTACTGGACAGAGATCCTTAAGGAAGGAGAGACCAAGGCTGAGCTCAAGTCTATTGGTCTTATCAATGAGTTTAAGACAAGACAGAACGAGCAGCTAAAACAGATTAATTTAAAAGATCCAACGGATAAGGAACTCCAAGAGTATAAGGACTGGACACATACTAATCTTGCTGAGCTAGAAGACAAACTCATGCTTGTTGAAATGAAGCTAGTCGAATCTCTTGGGCTAGCCAATACTGAGTTTAGCAAAGATGTTGAGAACATTAATAATGAGATGACAACCAAGATTACCAAGTTCACTGATGGCGTGCAGGACTTGATCAATCAGTTCCAAACAGACCTGAAGGACCACGCCTATAAGCTCAATGAAGAGGTGACCAAGGAAGAGGATACACCTACTTATCAGGATATCGGAGATGATGCTGATCTTCTCCAGCTTATTTATGACAAGGATATCCTCGCTCAGTTCTTTGAGCAATGCAAGGAGAATCAAGAGAACAAGATGAGTGAGAAGAACAATGTTATGAGGAGTGATATTAATAATGACTGGAAGAACATCAAGGAGAAGCTGACTGAAAATCAGCATGATAGGAACAGAAATATCATCCTAGAGATCATTGACTTCTGTAAGGATAAGAAGAAGGATGTGGAAGATCTACTCGAGCAATACGGCTTTGGAATGGACGAGTAAGGACTAAAGTAGGCAAAGAAGAGGGTTTGAAACAAATCTGTCTTATTTTGAATAAATTACCTCACACTTTCTTAATTTTTGGGATGGTTTTAAGCCTAAAATTAAACATAAACAGACATATTTATCTTCTCTTCAATATTTCTGGGTCCAGACGGGGTTTTGGGGTTTTGGGGTTTTGGGGTTTTGGGGTTTTGGGGTTTTGGGGTTTTGGGG